TTATGCTTTCTGCATTGTTTTTGAACTTGGCCACATAGAACATTTGATTTATTTTATTTTATTTATTTTATCTTTGTCATGATGACAGTAAATAATATTTTACTTGATATTTTTCAAGACACTTCTGTACAGTTTAAAGTGACATTTAAAGGCTTAACTAGGTTAATAAGGTGAACTAAGCAGGTTAGGGTAATTAGGCAAGTTATTGTATAACGATGGTTTGTTCTGTAGACTATCGAAAAAAAAATTGCTGGAAGGGGCTAATAATTTTGTCCCAAAATTGTTTTTTCAAAAATTTAAAACTGCTTTTATTTTAGCAGAATTAAAACAAATAAGACTTTCTCCAGAACAAAAAATAAATTTCCTTGCTCTGTTAAACATCATTTGGGAAATATTAAAAAAGAAAATAAAATCAAAAGCGGGCTATTAATTCTGACTTCAACTGTATATATATATTTATATATATAATATATATATATATATATATATATATATATATATATATATATATATATATATATATATATATATATATATATATATATATATATATATATATATATATATATATGTGTGTGTGTGTGTGTGTATGTATGTATGTATATATATATATATGTGTGTATATATATACACTAGGGCTGGGTGTTTTTTTTTTTTTTCGATTAATTCGAATTTATGTTTTGACGATGATTTAATTTTATATTAAATCGAGAAATCGTGATTTAAAAAAATATATATTTAAGACATTATTAATGGCACCAATGCGCTTTGGTTCACTCTCTGTATGAAGCAGGAAGCACACCAGAAGCGCCTCTCAGGCAGATCAGGCAGCATAATACAGAGAGTGGAGCAAAGCGCATCAAATGATCGGTATTTAAAAGGTGGGAAAAGAAAAACAGAATAAATATATTATTTTATAGTAGACACACATCTAGTGCTTGTATTTGCTCCTGCTATACATCCACAACTTCACACATTGGGTTAAATTAGGCTTTACAGTTTTCTTGTTCAGTCCTTTACTTCCACTGTATCTTTTTAAGAAAAAGGCAGCAGCTTTACAACCTGTCATTCAATCAGAAGAAGACAAAGTCAAAGCCGAGCTGACAGCCAATCTTTCCTAGGCTCAGCAAAACTTGCAAAAAATACCTCTGTATTCCTGCAACTGCAATATTTACACAAATATTTCTTATTCCAATCTTCTGCAACGCTATTTAACTCGTGAATTTGTTTTGCATTTATTTACACCTTGACCTATTTTTGTATGACATGGCCATAAAAAATACAATGTTCCTTAACCAGATGGTTTTTCTATATATTTATGATTTTTTCTTTCTTGTCGGCTTAGTCCCTTTATTAATCTGGGGTCACCACAGCGGAATCAACCGGCAACTTATCCAGCAAGCTTTTAGACAGCGAATACCCGTCCAGCTGCAACCCATCTCTGGGAAACATCCACACACACATTCTCACACACACACACACACACACACACTCATACACTACGGACAATTTGTCCTACCCACTGCGCCACTATGCTGTTCCAGTAATATTAGCATTTTAATAAATATTTAAAAGGTAACAAAAGAAACAAAAAATAAAAATATTAAATAAATAAACATGATGTATTCAGAAATTATTGCGAGGCTTCTACCTGGAATGCCACAGTTCCTAGGAACTGTTTTCTTTGAGCAGGATTTGGGCTTGAATTTTTGTGGTACCTGGCAACCCTGCTGTCTGCTTCCGTCTTTCAAAATAAAAACCAGCGAATGTAATCTTTGTTTAAAAATCTGTAATGTAGTTTTAGATCATTTCAATGTTTTTAATATCATATTTAGTTTAGAATATTTAAAATAAACGTGAGATTGCGTTTTTACATGCCTCTTCATTAATTTTGTTGCCAGGTCCGCATGTTTTCTACGTATTTTGCTACTTTACAGTTAACTTTTTTAGCGAACTCCTCGATATTTCTGGTGAAAAGAAAACATATGCCGACTTTGGATTATTTTGACAGCGACAACGAACTGGTTTAATGTAATTTATTTCCTGTCAAATATCTGGCAACATCTCAGCTACAAGTGAGCGCGTTGAGGTTATTGTTGTCAGTTCAAGTGCTGAAGGCGAGGGAGCAGAAAATGCTGCGCACCGTTTTTTCCCGAACTTTTCCTCAAGTTTTTCGCATCTCCTCATGTCAACATTCAACGATTCCTGCACCTAACGTTAAGCCTGACGTGCATTATAACAAGGTAATCGGCCTAATGATGGCCATTATAATTCATATATTTATTAATCTACGTCGTAGGCTACACTTTATTCGACAAATTGCTATTATAACTCGCACAAAGTGGACGCTTTCAGGCTTATAACGCTGCAGATCACTTTGGTCAAGCCATGAAATTAATATTGCTACTTGCTGTATTTAATACGTTTGTGTGTTTTCTTTTCCTCATAAAAACATTTTTTGGGTAGACATTTTTAAAATAAAATTAAATAAATACAAATATAAATAACCAGGAGTGGCACTTATAAACAGATTGATCTCTGTTTACATGTGCAATTCCTTATTGTTTCAACAAGGATTAATGGTAAGCATAAATGTATTGAATACAGCAAGCAACAGCAATATTTTTTATATTTTTCAACTGGAGACGTGCAAGTTATTAAATTATTAGGTCATATTTGTTAATATTTAAGATACTCCAGTGTAACAGAACAGAGGGAAAAGATTACTTTAATATCTATATAAAGCTATTATAGCTATATTAACTCAACTGCTTTCTTTACCTCTGCATTGTGTTATCTTATTTTTTTTGTTACGACCAGGAGAGACTTTAAAGGGATTATTTTTAAACATGAATGGATAAAAAATATTAGATAAAAAAATAGATCCTAAAAAAAGTTGTTTTAACTTTTATTTTAATGTATTATTTATTGTTGTTGTCATTTTTTTGCCATGAAATTGACATTGAAGCTGATTTGGCAATAAACTAATATTTCGCTCTGTGAATTGTGTTATTTGTATTAAAATTGGATCTTTTAAAAGCTGTTTTAGATTATATTTTATGTATTATTTTTTTATTGTTGCACATAATTTTTTGCCATGAAGTTGCTATTTAAGCTGATATGGCATTAAGCTCTAATATTTTGCTGTCTGTATTCTGTTACTTGTATTAAAAATGGCAAAAATCTCTTTAAAAATATCTTAAAAACCTGTTTTAGGTTATATTTTATATATATATATATATATATATATATATATATATATATATATATATATATATATATATATATATATATATATATATATATATATATATATATATATATATATATATATATATATATATATATATATATATATATATATATATATATATATATATATATATATATATATACACACACACGTTTGTTTTTTGTGAAAAATGGGGTATACATAGGTTTCCATTTATTTTATACTGTCCAAACCGTATATTATATACCCTCACCCCACCCTACCCCTAAACCCAACCATCACAAGAGACTGTGTGCAGCTTTACTCTCTGATTAAGCTCATCCTGTAGGATTTATAAGCATTTTGAGAAATGAGGACGTCACCTCTGTCCTCATATTTCACCTCCTTTTTGTAATACCTGTGCCATAACCATGTCATTATACAGATTTGTGTCCTGATACGTCACAAAAACACGTACACACACACACAAATTATTGGACTCTCTTGGAGACTCGTGTGGAATTCTGCTTGAAAGAGTCTCCTGGCTTGGGTTGTGAAATTCACAAAAAAAGTGGTGCCGTGACCCGGATAGAGACGAAAAACACACATTTCCAACAATAATGATCTGTAGTGCTAACAAAAGGCTCTCAATTATGGGTTTATAAGTGCACTCAGTTTCTTTATAGGCTTATTAATATAATTATACACGCCACAGTCTATAAAGTGCTGCAGAAATCATGTGTTTCTCAAATCAATGTGCGTATTTTAAAGAGTTGTTTGTTTAAATGCCTGTAATTACATCTGCAATTAGCTCAAGAAAATGTATTTTTTGTATCGACATATCCAAAGTCCCTTT